CCCCCCCCCCCCCCCCCCCCCCCCAACACACCCCTCCTCTTTTTTTATTTTTCTTATATCTGTGGCTCTTCTGCTGTGAGGATGCACACACATCCTTGGGCAAAATAATCTAAAATAGATCATACAAGTAAACTGGAGTAGATGCACAGGCACAGGAAGCAGCTTACGGGCAGACTTGAGTCATGCTGGCAAGATCATGCACCCTGAGCTGACAGCCCAACACACCCGATTACCAAGCACGTCATTTCTAAAGAAAACGCAGCCGTAGCCTCACTATAGGTCGTAAACAAAGAAGGTGGGGGGGGGTATTGGAACCCAACGCTGATTTACCCATAAATGACTCTTGGACGCAGGTATGGATGGTGCAGGGTTGGTACGCACTTTTAAGGCTGACCCGAGCCGCGTCTCTTTGGCTCCAGCGACTGTGGCTCATTCATTGTGTCATGTGGACTGCTGGCAATGGCATAACCTTTGTGGAGGGAAGGGAAGACAACACGGTCACTCTGGATAACGGTCTCGCGATGAGCAGAAACAGACCCTGTCAGGCCATCTCAACGTCAGTTTCTTTTTCTTTTTTTCCAGCTGCACCACCACCACCACCAACACACTCTACCAATCGCTCTTTCGCCGTTTCCTCACTTCCTCCTCCGTCAGCTAAGACGGCTCCGTTTTCCCGATGAGGCCCGTCTCGCTACATTGATTTGGCAGGCTCCCATTAATACATTTCTCCTTTGCGTCCCTTCTACGGTGCACGCTCCCATCTCTGACCTGCTTCGTCGCCCACATTTGGCCCCCCGCACGGCCGTATGGCGCTCGACAAAAGCCAGTGATTTTCCCACTGATACAGTTGGCTTCCATGTCACACTTGCATATATTATTGATTTATTTTGTAAATGATTGATTTAAAAGGGGGCCATCTGCTGCGCAATAGCATGACTGCGCTGCCATTTTGTTGTTCCCCCCCCCAAAAAAAAGACTTGCTTCCAATTAGGGCGTACAAGTGATGGGGTAATATTTCTTGCGTGTTTCTGCTCCGAGATCAGGACCCCGTGTTAGGATTCAAATGTTCTCTCTTAACAGCGAGCAGCAAAGAGGATGTGCGTCGAGACGGTGCGTTTTTTGTGCACTAAGCAGCAGATAAATGTTTGAACCGTCACTAAGGGGCATTCTCATGTCTCATTATGAGGCTCGTTAGGGCCCGCGTTACAGCTGCGTGACTGAGCAGCCTTAATAAGGACAGTGACCCAACACCAATATGAGCAGCACTGTTTTCCCTCACAAGTCCACCTACTACTGTCTTCCACGGCCCGATCTCTTTCCTCTTGTCTGTCTGCTCCCCCCCCCCCCCCCCCCCCCCCCCCCCCCCCCCCCCGTGTGTTTGGCAGTCACACAGTCGGCCATGTGTGTGCTGAAGACGTTACATAATGCCCTCCTTTCACTGCACTCCAGATCAAAGAGAACAATTCAGCACAGAAAAAAAAAATTACTCCTTGGTGATTTTTTTCTTCTTCTTCTTCTTCTTCTTCTTCTTCTTCTTCTTCTTCTTCTCTTCCACCATCACATTGTTTTATCAGACTTTGTACAGTAGACTGAATTATTATCTGCTTCAGCATTCCCCTTTATGTTGAAAACCAAAGGGGAAAGATCAGAGGTTGACTTAAAAACAGGTTAAACCAGATGTCATGACAAAGATGGTTCAGGTGTAGAAATCTTTACACCTCACTTTTGTTTTTTGATGCGCTTTTATTCGTTTACAGGGAAGTCATCTTCATCCAAGTAAGTTGACGAGCAGAGATTGATTTTAATAAAAGGGAATTGAGTTGCCTCACAGAAAAGGCGACACATTATATTTAATACAGTGTCGTTTTGGCTTTTTATCCACAGGGGCTGGCCTCTTTCACTATAGGAAAAAACATCCTGAAAAAAATGATGCAATTAGGATGAAATCATTATTTTGGAAATTGTGGTTTCGACTCTTATTTTGCAGATTTTCCTTTGACTCCTACGAGCGAACAAGCAGAGTGATTGTCACTGTTACGAAGGCACACAGCGCGACTAAACGTTCCGCCGCACGTGCTCACACAGAGCCAGGTATGGCCTTGATGGAAATTCAATTAATAGAAAAAGAACAAGAACAAAACCCTCTCTCTCTCTCTCTCTCTCTCCATCGAGTGGAAGAAATGGTGCCACGGAGAGAGAGAAAGAGCAAGAGAGCATCAAACGCTGTCACAGAGGCCGAGCCTGTCCACAGCGTTGTGAGGATTGTAATAATGAGCGTGTGCTGGGGGAACATTTACCTCCAATGCCAAACATGCAATGCATTTTGGGACTACAGGGCACAAATGACAAGAAAAACAATACAAAAATAAAAAAGCCGAGCGTTTAGTGTGCAATTTTTGAGAGAACAGTTACTCCGAAGGGAGGAGAAACTAGTTTAGCTGCTGTACAGTGGTGTATAATGATCTAATAGGACGACAATGTAAATGTTGTGCATGCGGGTTACATGTATAACCTCAGCTGACGTTACAAGTATTTGATTCCCTCCAAAGAGCTGGGATCAGCAGCAGTCCTTATCTCTCTGCAAAAAAACCCGAGTGATGGCGAGAGGTTCGCTGGTCCAAGGGAGCAGAGCGGTGGGGTTATCTCTGGCCCTCAGGGTGGGGGGTGGGGGGGTGGATGTGCAGGTGAACCAGGAATAAAAAGCATCGTTAGGGCACAGGCACATGCTCGCAGTGGTGCATAGCGGACCGCGAGCCGTGCAGCTGCAGCATCAAATGAATTGTGGGCGAATGGGAGAGGGCAAGGCTTCAGAGTGGGTTTGGCGCTCAAACCGTTATCACACCTGACAGTGTCTGGTTCGGGATCCAGTGGTGCACGCGGCATACGTAAGCGGCTGGTCATCTGTAAGGCAGAGTGATAGGGTGTGACGTGTCACACGCCACATTAGGCCCTGCCAGGGGATGTGTTTGACAGACCACAGGAACTTCACTCCAGCACAACGCTGTGCCTCTCCTCATATTGTCAGACCTATTGGATAGTTCCATGCTCTCATCTGGGGTCTTATTCATCTAATGCACTTTTAATGTTACATGGTTAGATGTTTGTGCTGTTACATTTACACTATTTTTCCTAATATGTGATTAGTACAATACCTCATTAACATCAGTGTGATTAATGTATTAAAGGGCAAAACTCCTTCAGCTGAAGGTAAACACAA